CTCACTGAGTTTGGAAATGCAGGCACTGGAGGGTGCTCATTTCTCTTTCTTTTCCAATCAGGGGGCTATTCAAACCTGTTCTAGAACAAGGAGTGAGATCCCCCATTTCCCCGTGGTGATCAGGCTTTCAGAGGTAGAAGTCTTATTAGTTCATAATTAGCACAAACCGACCTCACCATCAAATGTATCGACCCCGATGCTCACCCTCCTCAGCAGTCAGAGACTGGCTGTGTTCACCAGGAGCTTGTGCGCTTTTACGGAGCACACTTTATCCTCAGTTTCTTAAAAATAATTGAGCCTTTATAGGGGGTTCCATAGACAGAAGCTTTCTGTACTTTGCCCATTTAGACACTACAAATTCTGGCACCTGGTGAAAAGTGTAAACTTAAAGCTTGCATGTGGTTAAGTTTTTTTTAATAACCAAATTAAATAATATATGTAATGAAAATGTCAGTAATGCTTTTGAATCCCATCCCACCTTCCATTGGTAATAAATATTAACGCTCTGGTTTGCTTCTTTTCACCCTCTCTTCTGTGTTCATGCATACCTTTCTACCCAAGTACACCTACGGAAAATGGGTTCACCTGTACACTCTACCTGCCACATGCATACTCTTTTCCGTAAATATACCTTGATCTTTATTGTTCCAGGTTGGTCCATATAGACCTAACTTGCTCCTATTAACTGCTTCATATTGCATAATGAGGGTAGACAGGTACATTGGCGCTCTGTCGCCTGATTCCTAAATTCTGCCAGCTCTTTTCTAAAGTGACTGAATGGCATCTTTACTCTTCCAGGTTCTCCTCTCCCCAGCAATCAATTGATGATTCCAGCTTTTCCATCACTCACAGTCCTAGCAGGTGTGAGAGCTCCACTGGTTTCTCCTGCATGAGGAGACAGGGAGGAATAAAAGGATAGACATTTGTCAAACCTACCAGAGGCTACACAGTATCTCAGTTCATCCACATAAAGCATTGAGAGGAATGTTAGTCTTGTTTTACGGACGAGTCTAAATGAGGTCAGGGTCCAGGAACGTTAATGAATAGGCTTGCCCATGGTCTCAGAGCTAATAAATGGTGGAGCCAAATGAAGGACAGACAGCTTGCTTCCATGTGGAATTGATAGATGTGTCACTGGAGTCTGAGGGAGGGGAAGTCTAGAACCATCTGGGGTTGTCTTCAGATCGGACACCAGGGTTTAGAGAGTCTGTGTACCCTACAGCACTGCAGGTACAAGCATCACGGTGTTGGCAGTGGGGAGGTACTAGAGTGGGTAAGTAATCAGTGGCCTGGAACCGGAAGATCCAAGCTTTGAGAAAATTATTCCTATCACAAGATGTAGCAGAGAAACTGATGTGGATAAACTAGGCCAGGGAGCTCTGTGAGGAGCTGTTGTTAAAGTGAGCGAGGGAGGAGAACCAACTGAGTGGTAACTTCCTGTATGTGAAATGTACAGGAAAAAAATATTAACTACGATCCCATCAGAGTTTAGTCATTTTTCCTTTTTAAGTAGTTGGAAGGTGGGATAATTTATTTTCAAGGTTAAGTAAACTTCTGTACAACTTCTTTACCTTATGAAGGCTGGTGGCGAAGCAAAAAACGGCCCGGCCAATGGAGTCAGAGTTTGTTTAATAAATACCTCAGAGTTCAAAGACAGACTCTCATGGGGCAGAAATTGGTCAATGTTCCTGCATTCTAAAATTAGGAGGATCTTACTTTCTGTGAATCAGCAGAGAAGGAAGCATAGGCAGTGGGGAGGGCCAGTTGGGAACACAGCAGAGTGGCCGCAGGATATCAAAGACAAAGGACATGTAATATCAAATTCTAAGTCGTGAAGCTGTGATGCAACCCTGCTCCTTCTCCTAATGGTTTTTCAGGTCTCAGCACAGATGCACACCTGAGGGAGTAATTTCTTTGGAAATGAAGGACAAACAGCTGTGTTAAATATTAATAACAACTCCACCTTACAAAGCACACCTGGAAATGGAAACAAGATTTTTCTAAGGCCTTTTCTACTCTAAGAGTCTGTAACTTGCTGGCAAGCTGAGAGGTGAGGATGGGGGAGTGTTGATCCACATGCGATGAGTACTGTGTGTGGGGAAAAGAAAGAGAGATCAGACTGTTACTGTGTCTATATAGAAAGAAGTAGACATAGGAGACTCCATTTTGTTCTGTATTTGAGATGCTGTTAATCTGTGACCCTACCCCCAACGCTGTGCTTGCAAGAGACATGTGCTGTGGTGACTGGAGATTTACCGGATTTGGGGCTGTGCAGGGTGTGCTTTGTTAAACAAGCGCCTGAAGGCAGTATGCTTGTGAAAAGTCATCACTGTTCTCTTAATCTCAATTACCCAGGGACACATACACTGTGGAAGGTCACAGGGACCTGTGCCTAGGAAAGCTAGGTATTGTCCAAGGTTTCTCCCCATGTGATAGTCTGAAATATGGCCTCGTAAGGACCTCTGCCTAGGAAAGTTAGGTATTGTCCAAGGTTTCTCCCCATGTGATAGTCTGAAATATGGCCTCGTGGAAGGGGAAGACCTGATCGTCCCCCAGTCTGACACCCGTGAAGGGTCTGTGCTGAGGAGGACTAGTACAAGAGGAAAGAAGGCCTCTTGGCAGTTGAGATAGAGAAAAGCATCTGTCTCCTGCCCGTCCCTGGGCAATGGAACATCTTGGTGTAAAACCCAATTGTGTGTTGTATTTACTGAGATGGGAGAAAACCGCCATAGGGCTAAAGGTGGGACATGCTAGCAGCAATGCTGCTCTTTATGCACTAAAAACTTTTATGGAGATGTTTGCATATGCATATCAAGGCACAGCGCTTTTCCTTAAACTTATTCATGTCACAGAGATCTTTATTCATATGTCTTACTGCTGACCTTCTCCCTACGATGATCCTGTTATCCTGCCACTTCCCTTTTCCAAGATGGTAAAGATAATGATCAATACATACTGAGGGAACTCAGAGAGCGGTGCCAGCCTGGGTCCTCTGTATGCTGAGCGCCGGTCCCCTGGGCCCACTTTTTCTTTCTCTATACTTTGTCTCTGTGTCTCATTTCTTTTCTCCAGTCTCTCGTTCCACCTAACGAGAAACGCCCACAGGTGTGGAGGGGGAGGCCACTCCTTCACTGAGGCTCCACCACAAAGCATATAATCTTGAGTGTGAATCAGAGCGCTAAGAAGAATAATGCCCTTTACGTTGTTTCGCCCTGTGCCATCCTAAACCCACCCCACCCGTAATTAAGCAGCCATGGAAATGAGGGGAGTCAGAAGGAATCAAATTCTGCTGCTTGGTTCAGTAGACACAGGGACCTGGGGGAAGGGTGTGGCTGGGTCCAGGAGAAGATGATGTGAAAGAAATCAGGCACATTCCTCAGCCCCGGGCTCAACACTAACAGGCCCAGTACAAACACATCCCACCATTTATCTCTCAACTTCCTGAGCCCAGTACAAGCACATCCCACCATTTATCTCTCAACTTTCTGAGCCCAGTACAAACACATTTCTCAACTCAGAGACTACCATATATCTCAACTTTAGAAAAACACCACCTGGAAAGTCTCCGATAAGGAGACAGCCGTTCAAAGTTTTACTGAAAGCGTGGGAACCAAAAGAATTCCTTTGTTCCCCTGTAACTTTCAGGCTATAAAAAGCAAACACTCGCATTGTTCCGGGCCCTCTTATATGCTGTGGAATGGAGGGACCAGGTTCGAACTTGTAGTAAAGATCCTTGCCGCTTGGCTTTGACTCTGGACTCTGGTGGCTTGCCGCTTGGCTTTGACTCTGGACTCTGGTGGTCTTCTTTGGGGAACAAACAGTCTGGGCATAACATAACCAAAAGAATTCCCTTGTTCCCCTGTAACTTTACGTATCCTATTTACATCGGGCTATAAAAGGCAAGCACTCGCATTGTTCGGGGCCCTCTTGTATGCTGTGGAATGGAGGGACCAAGTTCGAACTTGCAGTAAAAGATCCTTGCCGCTTGGCTTTGACTCTGGGCTCTGGTGGTCTTTGGGGAACATACTGTCTGGGCACTACAGATGAGCTCAGAAAATAGACAAGGAGAAACCCCTGGGGAAAGCTTGTGAAACCTTGGAGGACACAGGAAATATGTTATTTGAGTTCCTTTTTGGTTATTACTCAATTTAATTATTACTAAATTAACGGAAGGCATCCTGCACAAAGGGATATTCTCTGTGAAACATGACATCTCAAATACAAACAGAGCATTCGTCCTTACCCTAAAGCCCACCCTCTCTCCCCAAGTCCCTCATGCATCAGGCCACCTTTGTGCCCACAGATCATGGCCAGCACTGGGTGGTCATCATCATCCACACACAGAGGGCAGTCAGCAGCGTGAGGTGGTTCTGCCTGCTGGGGTCTCACCCCAGACATGGAAAGCAAGAGCCCTGGGTAGAGCTGAAGGTGCTCAGCTGGGTTTCTCAGGAGTCCCATCTGTCAGTGAATTGACAAGAAACAGAGCAAAACGACTCCTCCAATGTTGATGAGCCTGCCCCTGGGATTTGGAAACTTGATAACAGAGAAAACCAATATAGACAAAGGAATTTAAACAGGATTATGGTCAATTAACCAAATTACAAAAGGATACTTGAAGGAGTTATTGGAACATAGGAATCAAAAACACCATAAACACATGAGTTTCCCTAAGACTCTAGACTACAGCACTATGTAGATAACTAACACTAGAATATTAATTATGTTATTGAAGAGCCACTCACTATGTAGATAACTAACACTAGAATGTTAATTATATCATTGAATAAATAAAATTTGCATTGAAATACAAATGGTTTCCAAAAGGTCATGAAAATCTTACAGACTTGTTTCAATTCAGACAAATGTGTTCTTCTCATTCTCAACTGTTCTCTGTGCATCTATCTTGAATTTGACTGTCTGGGGAACAGGTGTGGCCTCTCCTGACAGGAAGGCTCTGGGGCCCAGGCAGCGAGAATGCCGTCTCAGAATGACTTGAGAACCCTGTTCCCCTTTTATCAACACACAGAGCCAGAAGATCCCTCCGTCCTGAGCACCTGCCATGAGCATCAGGCTTCTGTGCTGTGCGGCCTTTTCTCTCCTGTGGGCAGGTGGGTCCTGGGCAGGGACCCTTGCATGGATTTAAAGGCCCAGTGCCTTCCCATTAGGGCTGCAGCATCAGTTTTGTTCTCTGCAGGCCCAGGGAATGCTGGTGTCACTCAGACCCCAAAATTCCAAATCCTGAAGACAGGACAGAGCATGACACTGCAGTGTGCCCAGGATATGAACCATAACTACATGTCCTGGTATCGACAAGACCCAGGCGTGGGGCTGAGGCTGATTCATTACTCAGTTGGTGCTGGTGTCACTGACAAAGGAGAAGTCTCCAATGGCTACAATGTCTCTAGATTAAACACAGAGGATTTCCCACTCAGTCTGGAGTCGGCTGCTTCCTCCCAGACATCTGTGTACTTCTGTGCCAGCAGTTACTCCACAGCACTACAAGGCTGCCTCCTCTCTGCACATAAAGCCAGGGAGGCTCTGCCCTCCTCCCCGCTCCCCAAGACTCAGGGATGCCCTGGGCAGAGTTCTCTACACCAGGAACCTTGGAACCCCAAGTGGCCC